AATATTTGTGATTTTTCATGAATTTCAAAAAAACCCTAAAATGGCCAACTTCGGGCCCCTGAAAAAGAGTGATAGATGGTCCCAAAAATTCTAATAAAATTTGGGGACATTTCTGACATCGGGAACAGCAAGTTTTTCATATTTGCAGAAAAAAAATTGTTTTGGCCATTCGATTTCACAGAGAATCGGCTATATATAGCATCACAAACAACAAATTTTTTATGTTTTTAGAAAAAAAAAAATAGTTTAGGACATTTGATTTCACTGAGAATCGGCTAGCTTTTAATGTACATGTTTACGAATTTTTTTGTGGTTTTCTTGCTATTAGAACTTTTTAATTTTTGTATTAAAATTCTAGAGGTCAAGACTTTAGTTTTCTTATTGATTGATTGTCCAGTCGTAGGCACTTTTTATCTCACAAAAAATCAATTGGGATAATATTGGTGCAATGTTATAAATTTTTTTTTTCAATTTCATATTAAATTCGGAGAATTTGCTGACGGTACTCACGATCACGGTACTCACATTCTAGCATAAAAAGATCTTATTTATTCATAATAATTAAATAAAATTTTTTCTGACTCAGGATACTTTAATTTACATTAAATACCTTAAAAAAAAGCGCTAAGATCGAAATCCCGAAATAGCTGGTAGTTGGAATCGATGCTGACGGTACTCACTTTCTTATTCTATTAGCGATAATTTTCAAATTTAACGTTCTGTATATCGAATGTTACTTATTTTTCATAGACGCGGGTGAGGTCAGTGGATTTGGAATTTGAATTGCTTCAAAAATATTCTATGTAGATATCGTTGCAAACATAATACTTGTGGTGTATGCTCATTAATCGATGGAAGATCGATTTTAGTTAAAATTGAAGGACAAAAATCAAATTTTCTTATGCAATTTTCGGGTCCTCATTAAATATTTATAACTATTAAAATTCATAGTTTATAATATCAACCAATGACTTGTTTAGCTCTAATAATGCGTAAGTGCGAATTATTCGTTAATTTGAATGGAGAAATAAGTTTTTCGGGTAAAAGACAGCTGACGGTACTCACATTTCGACCTGTTATTTACCCCACATTTTGGTTGTTTGAAATTTTAATTTTTTTGACACGATATACTTTTTAGAACACTAAAAAAACTACAAGAAACCACTGTTCAAACTTATAAAATTTATATCTATTAGCATTTTTGATAGCAAGACATGTAAATTACCAATTTTTTGTCATCTACCCATATGCATGAACCGGACTTATTCTGATAATTATTTGTTTTAAGCAAAAATTGGAATCGGTTCGTGTACAGGAACCCTACCCAATCTTTGCTTAAAAAAGCAAATAATTATCAGAATGAGCCAATCCATTTATACATGAATCGAACTTTTTCGAAAACCATTTACGTAGTAGCACAAGTGTTAATGAGAGCTGGTTCAAGAAAACGAACCCTGCTACTCAATATAAATATCAGTCCATGGACACGAACCCAACTTCATTAAAAATTATAGAATAATAATATTATTATAAAAAATAATGAGAGCCGGTTCATGGGCGCACGAACCCTGCTACTCAATATAAGGAATTTGGCCAACGCCAAGGGATCGACTCCTCTGCACATCGGTTGTCGTTGGTACGAGCAAGACCACCTGTCGGAGATACTGTTCGAGTTCAGCAACGACAGGTATCGGCCTTTGCGGCTGGACGCCACTGCACTCGGCCGTGACGAATATCTCGCTGAATACCGTGGACGCTCTCCTGGATCGTGCTGCTGATCTGTCAAAATTCGTTTTTCCCACTGCCAATCAATTCAGCGAGCAATTCGAAGCGCTAAAACACAATAGGCTTATCTTTGATCTGGAACTACTGTCCGGCACTCTGGACGTCGTCGGACGCCGTCGGAAGAGAGGATACGAGCTGGAACGAAGCGCGGATTGCTCAAGAACTCGGCGGATCTCGAGCAACGTTGGTCCTTTGAAATATTTTAGTTTTAGATTAAGAGTTACAATTACAATAATTATATTAAAAAATACATTTGCTTGACAGATGTGGATCAGAGCTCGTGATTTATTTTTTTAACATTACTTAAGAAACGAACATTTTCCAACGATACAAAAAAACTATTTATGTACAAAGAAATTCAAAAAATCACCAATTCACAACTTTAGTCTACGATATATCATTTTTAATATAAAAACAATAATAGTAATAACTCTGTTTTGTAAATGATGCTGTACTATCATTGAAATAAATAAAATAAAATATCTTATACTTACTAATTCCTTGCGTTTCAACAAATAAAGTTATATCACACGTTCAAAAGCTTCCAATTATGTCATACACCCAGCTTTCCACCCAACAAGTTTATAATCTGGTAAATTAAAAAATCTTGTGTTCATATGGGATTTTCATTATTTGAACCAACATGACTTACCTCCTCTTTGCATCAATTGCAAGGGTGAACATCTACCCACAGATAAAAGCTGTCGCAAGACAAAAAAAAAAAAGTAAGAAAAGTTCGCGAGCTCATTGTACGAGATAATGGCGATTAAAAATATGACGTTCTGCGACTCGGCGCGAAATCTCGTCGAGAAACCAGTGAATTTATTTTGCCGGCCATGGGCGTTGGAATCTTTCATGAAGCTGACGGGATGTCAACTGTCGATTTTGTGCTGCGAGATGATCGTCGATTATGTGAATAACGAAGATTTACGGAACATTTGCTCGGCAGACACAGATTAGAGCTTGTGAGTTTTCGTTGACTTTTGTAAAACATTACTTCAGATAATTGACTTTTTTCAATAATATAAAAAATTACAATTATATAATCTTATTATAACAATTTATGTTTTATTAAATTTATGGGTGACGCTGTTGTTATATACCAATAACCCAGCGTTGGGTATAGTAAAATTTAAATATAATAATTAAAATAAGACCGTCAAATTAACACGTATGACGCCTGATCTCGCGGGTAAAGAGGCATGTGTGTAAGATGAACACAGAGACAGGCAAGCGCTGTCGCATGAATGTGTGTGTGAATGTAAGCGGCCAACACACATCGGCGCATTAGATCGAACCCGCGCGCATATGTGTATCAGCCGAACACAGAGCAAGGCAAAGGCTGAAGGTATGTACGGACGTGCGCGAGCAACATTACCGACGCATTAGATCAAGCCTTCGCACGCGTATATATTCCGTGTATGTGTACTCGCGTGTGTGTGTAAGTCGAACACAAAGAAGACATAACACACACATGCGAGACGAGACTCGTGGAATAATTTGAATTGGCACAAAGGGGAGAAGCAGGTTCGCACGCGCGCTCGCAAGTCCCATATCTCCCCCAAGTTTGACCTTTGACCTCAGATAACCATTGGGCACACTGGTCTAGCGGAAACCGAGTCAACAAGTGACGAAATAGCTGGTAGACTTGCGACTTGCGGGAAAAACCCAAGACGTACCCCCGCCAAAAGGTCCATGATTTAATTAGTATATAACGTGCATAAAAATTAGGCCTCGAGGCAGATCATTTTATACAGTCGAGCAGGGCGAAGCTCTGGGCAGATCATCTTAAAGAGTCGAGTAAGGCGAAGCTCTGTGCGCGCGAATAATCAAATCAGTGTAACAGCGACTTTGAAATATTTAACGGACTTGTAATACAACGCGAATTGCACATATTGTACTTAGTGAGAACCAAGCGCGAGTCAATAACAGCGACTAACTTGTACTTGTACTTATACGCCGCGACCATCGAAATTGTTAATTGTATTCGCGAACGGTAAAGCTCGAGTGAGTGCTTCACCCAGCCCAGCAGCGCAACAGCCCAACAGCAGCGACGACCGTCACTGCAGCAGCCACCGCAACACCACCGAGGCAGCCGCGACCGGCGGCCAAGCAGCATCAGCGTAACGCTCCAGCAACAGCAACAACGGTAGCGCCCCGACGGCGTTTGCAGCCCTACATATCGACGAGCATCGGCCACACTTATTTTGTAAGCTTGTTCAATAGTTATTAGTTTTCTTGTAATAAAGTCTTGTGTGTAAATCTCACTTGAGCGTTATACACTTTATTTCATGATCCTTCCCCACTCAGACACAACAGAAAGTAATATTTAATATTCAAATTATAAAGTTATTACCCCGTATTAAAGGGTATATAACACTGTCATAGCCCTTTAAAATAATTTTTGTTTTAGATTAAGAGTTACAATTACAATAAATATAATAATAAAGCATATCTTTAATGTTTCTCTATATCCGAAGTAATTTGACATATTTTCTACATCATTAAAATAAAAATTTGAATAAAATGAATGAATATTTATTTTGGTATTGATAAGCGATCAATGAAGTAAAAAATCTCAATTTCTGTATGCATTTTTACAAGGCACCTTGCCTCTACTGGCACGCGCTTGACTCTGTTCTCCCTCGCGCTACACTCCCGTAATGAACTAATTACGTAATACATTCAAAAGCTTCCATGCTGTAATTTTGTACCTGTTCACACAGCTTCCCACGCAACATTAGGATCACCACACATCAAGTGCAAAGGTAAGTCTAAAGTTTCAACGCTGTGTAAATTAAAAAAACTACGTATGGTCTGTATGCCATTTTGTATTATTAAATGTGGGCATGTGTTACAAATATTTTTGATTATAGCCTCGAAAATCGATGATCGAAGACTTCTAAAATTCCGTAAAGAAATTCAAATTTTAAAGCAGTCAAAATTAAAATCGAATGTAATTACGACGCTCTGTAATAGTTGAAAACTTGGAACACGTTTATTTAGGGATCTTTTTTCTCACTCCGGCTTATGAATACATCATAAAATATATTCGGCCCAATCAAGTTATATCAATCGTCGGTTTGTACATTCAAAAATTTCACATCGCATTTTGTGTCATTACGATACGATAAGTCTCTCGAGACTCCTCTGACCTCTCGAGAATTTGCGGCGGCGCATTGTTCGAGAAGAACGGGCAGATGGCACTGCCGCACCGCACCGTCGGTCGCTCTCTGTGATCAGGGTTGTGAAAAAGCCGCGGCGGGAGATGGCGCTTCGAGCGATTTCGCCGTCGGCGGCGCGCAATAAACCATGTAACCCAAGTAACCCAAAAGTCACTATGATAATAAATTTACCAGTGCATAGCAACTTTACAACTAGATTTGATTCTAATTTTAAGTCTAAGTTTTCTATGCTCTGGTAAATTTATTATCATAGTGACTCTTGGATTACATAGGTCTATTGCCGCCAACGGCGAAATCGCTCGAAGCGCCATCTCCCGCCGCGGCTTTTTCACAACCCTGTCTGTGATCACTGAACAGTTCAGGCTTCACACTCATAGTATAGTTCACGACGCTGCAGTGTAAACAAAGAAATATCGCAGTGAGTTGCAGCATCAAGAGGCTGTTGTGCAAAAAAAGTGAAAAACATCTTCCTCGATAAGAAATCGTGTCTCTGTGTGAAGTTCGAGTGCGCATACAAGTCACGATGACCTCGACCAACGACGCATCAGTCGAGCTCGTGCAAGAAGCGGATAACGACTCGTCGCTACACTCGACCCTGGACAGCGGCGACAAAGAAAAGGTCGAGTCGCTTCTGAGAAACGGCGCAGACCCGAACATAACCAACGAACAGGGATTGACTCCTCTGCACGTAATTTGCAATAATCTCGGCGAGGATGACGTCGACTTGATGGATCTGTTCTTTCGAATCAACGAAGAATTGAATCGGCCGGTGCAGCTCGACGCGCAGAACAAAGAGGGTAACTCGGCACTACACTTGGCTGTGATTCGAGGCAACAAAAAGGCAATCGAATTACTGCTGAGACGAGGCGCTCGTTCGAATCTTGCCAATGCAGAGGGTTTGACTCCTCTGCTATTAATTTGCAAGATTTACCACGATGCCGACGACGACGAGGACGACGAGGAAAACGACGACGATAACGAAAGCTTGGCGGAGATGTTCTTCAGGATCAACGAAGAAAAACATCAGCTTGTGCAGGTGAACGTCCAAGACAACCAGGGCAACACACCTTTGATCTTGGCTATGGATAGAGGCGACGAAAACTTGATGGAATTGCTGCTGAGACGAGGCGCAGATCCAAATACGACCGACAAAGAAGGTTCGAGTCCTCTGCACGTCATTTGCAACCGAGCCGATTACGGCGAAGACGACGACGTCGGCTTGATCAAGTCGTTCTTCAAGATCAACCAAGAATTGAATCGATCGGTGCTGGTCGACGTCCGGGACGAGCAAGGCAGAACCCCGTTGCACTTGGCCCTGTGGTGGGGCCTCAAGAGGATCGCCAAATTTCTGCTGAGACGAGGGGCGGATCCGAACTCCGTCGACGAGAAGGGATCGACGCCCCTGCACAACATCTGCGATTCGAGCAACACGGACCTGCTGAGGATGTTCTTCAGGATAAACGACGAATTGAATCAACGGGTGGAAATCAACGTTCGGGATAACAAGTCGGGCAACACACCGCTGCACGAGGCTCTGGAATGGGGCGGCAAGGAGAATCCCAGAATGCTGCTGGAAAGGGGCGCCGACATAAACTTGACCAACGACCAGGGCTGGTCCGCTCTGCACGTAGTTTGCATGAGATCGGAGGGCGACGACGATCAAGTACCGCAGATGTTTTTCGAGATGACCGAAGGCCTGCAACAATCCGTTCGAGTCAATGCTCAGGACAACGAGGGTAACACGCCGTTGAACTTTGCTTTGCAACGCTACGATAAGAAGACCGCCGAATTGATGCTGAGACGAGGAGCCGACCCGAATTTGGTCAACGCCGAAGGATCGACGGCTCTGCACGTAATTTGCAGGTATTACAGGCACGCCGATGTCCTGACGAAGATGTTGCTCGAGATCTGCGACGAATTGAATCGACCGGTGCAGCTCGATGCCCTGGACAAATCGGGCCGGACACCTCTTCAGTGGGCCGTGTTGAACATCTCGGCCGATGCAGTAGATGTACTCCTGGATCACGGCGCCGACCTTTCCAAATTCGTTTTCCCCACCGCGGACGAATTCTGCGAGGTACTCAAGGAGCGACACCACAAACACTGGCTCATTTCCGATCTGGAGCTGCTGACCAACACTCTGGAAGTCGTGGAACGCCTCGCGGACCGAGGATACGTGCTGGAACGAAGCGACGCACTGACGATCATGGACGTGTTGAAAGAGCGCGGATTGCTCAAGAAGTCGGCGGGTTTCGAGGGGCGCTGGTGCGAGGAGGACGAGTTCGTGAAAAAGGGCAACTACGTGATGATGAACATCGCGGGTCTGTCGTTCTACGACTCGACGAGGTGCGTTTACGAGAAATTGGCGAGAACGTTTTGCCAGCCGTGGGCGCTGGAATCTTTCATGAAGCTGACGGGATGTCGACTGCCGATTTTGTGCTGCGAGATGATCGTCGATTACGTGAATAACGAAGATTTACGGAACATTTGCTTGGCGGACACAGATTAGAGCTCGTGATGGTTCGTTGACTTTTGTAAAACATTACTTCAGATAAGTGATATTTTTCATTAATACAAAAAATTACAATTATGTAATCTTATTATAACGATTTATGTTTTATTAAATTTATGGGTGACGCTGTCATAGCCCTTTAAAATAATTTTTGTTTTAGATTAAGAGTTACAATTACAATAAATATAATAATAAAGCATATCTTTAATGTTTCTCTATATCCGAAGTAATTTAACATATTTTCTACATCATTAAAATAAAAACTTGAATAAAATGAATGAATATTTATTTTGGTATTGATAAGCGATCAATGAAGTACAATATCTCAATTTCTTTATGCATTTTTGCCTCTACTGGCACGCGCTTGACTCTGTTCTCCCTCACGCTGTACTCGCTTCACTGAGAGAAAGTATAAAGAATTATTGTAACGAATGGGAGGCAATGGTTGAAAATTACATTGCCAACTGCGATCAAAGTAAAGGTGAACGGAAGGTAAGCCGTAATAATGTTATCGATCGTAGGTAGAGTACCGATCGCACAAGGGGGACATACGGCGAACTCGCCAGAAAAAATATTTCGAAAACTTTCTCGCGATTACTTTTCGAAAATTTTTTAACAAGTTCACGTTAAATTTTGAAAATATTTATAAAACATTTTTTCAATTACTCGAGTGTTTATCCGATGAGTCAGAGTAAAAACTTTGCTCGTCAATTTCTCCAGTGCTCTACCGACCTCTGCTGCTCGAGAAACGAATCTATGTTAAGAAAACATCGAGTCCTGTACTGCAAGCCTGCGAATTATTCGCAATATAAATCTCGATAACATCGAAAAAAAATTAAAATTAAAATATGCCTTAAACGTTAAGTCAGAATGATATAAATTGAATTCATAATAGTTAGATTAAAAAGATATACGCGTGATAGAGCAGCAGGTTTTTTCTTCCTATAATCCTTACGTGCGCACTCGACGAGTCCGCGAAATTTCTCGTCTATACGCGCGGTTTCGCAGCGACATAGTATGCGAGTATCATAATGCGTATCCGCGCGCAACTTTTCATTTTCGCGGATAATCGCGAATTTTCCATTCGAGGCGCGCTAATCTAAAAATGAATAAAAAGAAGGAAAAAAAATTATAATATCCACGCGTATTCGCTCTCGTAGCTGGTGGTGCGGTTTTATGCGGTCATTACATAAAAACACGAGCGCTAAATTTCAGCGATGACAAATTATTGTGATTTCGCGCCGAAGACACGAAGAAGCCGTATAATATTTTTATGATTATCGAGGAGGAAGTTCTAAAATATTAGGCATTTTCTCGGGCGCGGGCGGGTGGACAATGCCCCCGCGACGCGCATATACTTAATTTTTTCTATCTCTCTCTCTTTCTCTTTGATATAAAAGTATAATTATTTTAATGCCAAGTTCATAATAGAAAGAATAATAGGCTTCTGGATATTATGGGCTTTGCCTCGAAGTGCGCTGCAGCTGTTTTCAATGTTGAGGCTAACTAGCTGGAGCGATGCACGATTATTACATTTTTACGAGGAACGAAAATGAAAATATATAATACAATACAATGGGAAACGGCCAGTTAAAAAAAAAAAAAAAGATAACAATAATAAAAGGAGTTAAATCTCGACGTTATCCTTGAACTCGACGAGGGAAGATAAAATGCTCGAGTAAAAAGCGTCACTTACTTTTTTTTATGTATAATACAGGTACAAACATTTCTCGCAAGTCTAGTGGCAGTTTTTATGGGTGCACTTATACTGCGACAGGCCGGACGTTGAGCCTCGAATTAGCTGGTTATGGATCTTCCTTCCAACAAAAATAAAAAAGGTAGCAAAGCGTAGCCGAGGTACACAAAAAAAAGCCTCTTTACGACGCGATACTTTCCAGTGCCTATCTCATTATATTTTTCGCGAGCGTCGTCGTCGTCTCCTCGGCTATTTTCCTTGATTTATCGGCGCGCCACACGGATCGTTACGACATTCAAATGGCTTGCATATAATATTTTTTTTTTTATTTTTTTTAATCCTTTGACACTAGTTATATCGAATCGTTAATTAACGCCTCGCGACGACGACCCGCACATAAACATGCTCATACGGTAGAAAGGCAGAAAATAAAAAAAAAATTATAAAAAAAAGTGACGCGACAACCGGGAAAGAAGTATCAAGGCGAAAAATTACCTCTTGAGAAAATCGCGCGCTTTTACTAACGTCGCGTGCCGGGTATATAATAGTACTACACTTGTAATATTACATGTATACCTTTATAAATGTATAATATAGGCAGCAGCTATGACGTTGTAACGGCCAAGCCTATATGTGTGTAAAGTGTGTGTGTATACAAAACCCAGCTGGGCGTCGGATTGCGCAAACCGCAAACTCGTGCGCACCAACGACGTTTGTATTATATATGTAATATATCTGACAATATGCGCGACAACGACGACGATGACTACTTACTAACTACGAGGTGAATCGAGTAGATAAAAATAACAACAACAATAACGACGACGACGACGACGACGACGACGACGACGACGACGACGTTGGGTGTATAAGGGAAGAAGAAAAAAAGAAAGAAAAATTGCAAATGAAGTATAAAAATGTCCCCATATATATAATACACCATAATATATAATACGCTGCGTGCGCGAGGCGAAATGGTTTATAATTATTATGTGTGCGTCGTCGTCGCGGCTAAAAAAAAAATTGCGCGAAAATTCGCGTCTGTGTGAAAACTGCGGTTCGCGTGCGTCGTACACACCGCAGAAAGATATGAGGAACGACTCGGGCGCGCGCGCGAGCGATTTTCACAATTTGTACGCACGCTTAGAGCTCGTGCGTGTATGTGAAAAGCTGAAGAAACGAAAAAAAAAAACAACCTAAGCCGAAAGAGAAAAAGACGCGTATACGAAAGTGAACTTGAGTCTCGTCCATAGTCATTATAATATATATTATATTATGAGTGTACGCATATGTACGCACGCATCAGAGGCGGGAGGGAAAATATTACAATGCCGCGGAAAAATGACTTTTCACTATTATAATGCACACGCGAAGAGACGTCGTCGTCGTCGTCGTCGTCGTCGTGTGTCACATTATGCGGTACGCTATACATTACGATCATTACGCGGGCTCTGTGTATGGCATAAACTGCTGCGCGCGCGCCAACTGCAATAATGATAATAATAATAATAATAATAACGATAATAGTAAATGGTAATATTTATGCGTTATGAGGCGCACGCGCCACGCGAAACCGAAAGTTCGTCTATTGCGGTTTTCTTTGGTTGAAATAAAAAATCGTTTTGTACTCGCTGATGTACATGGTATCTGGACCCACGAGCTCTCCGCGCTTCATATCTCGGGTCTAATGTAATAATGATGCCGAAAAATGCAATATTAGGCCGATGATGTTGCACACATACACACGTAATTCTGGGCAATCGTAATTATGAATATAAAAACGAATTGCAATGAGCGGGGCGATATTAAGCCATTGCAGCTTGCTCGGGATTCGCAAAAATAAACATGAAAATTCGAGCGAGCGAGCAGAGGCGTGCGCCGAGCGCGCGCGAGAGAGAATTGAAAAATCTCAATTCACTCGGAGGAAGAAATGCCTCCTACCGCTGCTACTGCTCGCGCTGTATAAGAGACAATACTTATAAAGAGACATTGCATCAGAGATCTAATTTTTTTTTCTCACCGTCGCGCGCGAGCGCTACGCCGTGGTACGTTATTACATATTATATACGTGTAACGCGAGAAAAAAGAGAGAGAGAAAAAAAAATCGTCAGCGTCAAAAAGCGACAGATTTCACGAATGTAACACGTGTTTATGTTACAAGTTAAAAGTGTACATCACGTCGGAGTGCTCGTCCGATATAGTATATAACATAGGTAGCCAAGCTACAAAGAGCCCCATTGTCTCTCGCTCACTCACTCTCGCGTATATAGATATTTTCTGCATCGGGTGCCAATTGCGGATAATACCACCGCATTTGCATTGTAACGGATCCATTATATGCATTATACGTAGACAAGATAGACGCGTCGTGACGCGCGCGAGATAGATCTATATATTTATTTATATATTTATCCTGTGGTGCGATCCACCTGTGCGCGCGCCTTGTAACACTAATAAATACGTGTCCGATGAGCAGCCCCATTATCATTATAATACCGATCAGTTCGACTATTTTTCCCCGTTCGCACGAGTGTTATCTCGAATTCCAGGTGTGCTGTGTATAGTAGCATTAGTTGTAGTTGCTATTCAGCCGCACGCGCCGCGCGGATGCAACTAGGATATAATATAATATATATAATACGAAGTCGTAATCGCCGTTCGCGTGCCACATTGCGGGCCGACGATCGTAATCTTCCTACGCTTATATTATTTCATTTCATTTTTCCATTATAGCTTTTATTGTATGTATTTCGAGATGCCACACCGCCTCCAATTTTCTCCCGCATTCGCTCTCAGGCAGAGACGAGAGAAAAAGATGCACGCGCTGCATAATGCATATACTTTTTGAAACATTTCTGATCTGATACTCAAAGAACATCTTCTTAATTACTAAGAATTTTTTCCGAATCTTCTATACCTGCCGCTTTGGCCGCCAAGTGGCCAACAAGAACGAAACGCGCGCTCCCACAAGTCAGTAGACGCAGCGCCAGTGCACAAAAGGTAAGTCCTCCGGTAGGAATCGCAATAGAATTGCTAATTGATGGGCAGTGATAGCCGAAAAACCCGAGAGCGCATCGACACAAGTGCTCACGAATGCATTTAAGATTTCAACCGCAATAATGTCTTTTGACCATTGGATAAATGATGGGCTTTGCATCGGATGAGCTTCGAATTGTCGCTACTTGAATTGAGCTTCTTTAATTGACAATTTATAGTGTTGAATTTTCTGTGGGAAATCATTTGAGACGGTTAGCGTGAGCATTTCAAGAATAATTCTTACTTCAAAGCAGAAATTTTTTATTAGCATACCGATGGGAAGTATGTACTTGAAAATAATTATTTATACTTGAGTTAATGTAAGAAAGGCGAGTGAAAGGTTTTTCATAGTCAGAAAAAAAAATTATAACAGTTCGAAATATTTTATTATTTTTATGTTATTTTATTGAATTGAACGAAATTAAAACTATAACTGTAAAAGATTTATCAAAATTATATAA